TTTTAAATAACAATTTTTAAAATATATTTTTTTAAAAGTACTAGTGAGGATATTATCTTTATTTTTAAAATTATATTTATTAAAATAAAAAATTATAAAAAATTAATGTTAAACCCAGATTATATTATTCAAAGTATATCTAGATATTCAATTTATAAAATTATAAAAATATTAATATTAAAGTAGATATTTAGATTAAATCTGCACTATTTTGATTAATGATAGACTAGTTATTAAAAAATTTTTTAATATATTTTAATACAAAATTAAAATTAAAAAAATTAATTTGGACTGTCTAGATTAAAATTGGAGGGTTGGTATAGATTTAAAATATTATTTTATATTTATAAAAATAAAAATTTATAAAAATTTAAAAAATATGTTAATAATTTTTTCATCATCAATCTAGTCTAGATTTAATTTGAAAAATCTAATTTAATATTAAAATTTTTATAATTATTAATACTCCTTTTGTTAAAAATGTAAGACATTTTTGAAGAAGTTGAATGTTCAAAAATGTAAGGCATTTTTAATCTCTTAAGATGTAATTATTACCTTTTTATCTCTATTGATAGTGGTTTTCTATTTATTATAAGGTATTTAGTAGGGATAAATATAAAAGATAGGGTTAGTTTGAAAATAGATAACTACTTTATTAAAATGTGAGATTTGGTTAAAAATACCTTACGTTTTTTAACGAAAGAAGTATTGACTATCCATATACTTTGCATAGTTCAAATTTAATATTAAATTTTTTTATAATTTTTTATTTTGATAAATATAATATTAAAAATTAAAATATATAAAACTAGAATTTTTAAAAAAATACAAGTAAAAATTTTTAATTATGAACTATACAAATTACATCTAAATAGTCACTATATAAAAATTATAAAAAATTTAATATTAAATTGAACCTTCCAAAATAAATCTATACCACATTAATTGATGATAAACAATTTTTTATATATTTTTATTTTAATAAATATAAAATAATACTCTCTCTATCCTAAATTATAGGGGTACTTTTGAAGGAGTTTATTTATTTCAAAATATAAAACATTTTAAGTATATTAAAGTTTTATTAAATGTATCAATTTTAATATTACTTTTTCTCTCTTTCTATAATTAATTTTCATCCCTTCTATTAATATATTAAATGATAAGTATTTTTAAAAGTTTATATTTTTATTTTGACAGAAAAATTGTTAAATGTATTTAATCAGATTTATTGATATGTAAGATTTTATCTAAAAAGAGTGCTTTAAATTTAGAGCATCTTTATCAAAAATTTAAATAGTTTAAATTTCATCACATTAATGAGTATGATTGTGCCAATCAGTGTGAAGATTGACCCTACTATACTCTTGTTATTTTCTTCTAGTTCTATTTAGTTTGCTAAATTTACTTTTTTATTCAGTTTGCTAAATTTACTTTTTTGCCCTCTTTTATCTTCACATGTTTTCAATCTAATCCTTTAACTTAATTATAATTATAATCTATATGAAATTTCTAATAAGCTGCATTATCCATTAATCAAGGCTAATAATCAGTTTCTCATGTGTTGTAGGCAGTGGCTAAACACTTCCATAAGACGATAAGAAACTCAAGTCTATTCATGTCGAATATGGTCGGACCCTTGGATCAACTAGCTGTGGCTGATTTTCCAATAAAAAGCTTATATTTTACCTTGTCTGGTGCACCTCAGGTATACTGTATCTTCGTTTTAAATTAACGAATAATAATAATTTTATGCCAATCGTACTATTTTTTATATCAATTACTTTTTTTTAAATACCCTATATTTCTTCTGATCTCCGTGCGTTGAAGAAACTAAATTCTCCGATCTATCGTATCCGCTAATGCTGCAGAGTCTTGTTATTACCATAATAAGCTATATGGGAATGTTAAGAGTGACAACTAGAGCAGAAGAAGGATTCATAGATGAGAAGAAATTAGCGTCGTACATGAATTATGCCTTTGAGATGATACACAAAGCAGCAATGGAGATTCCCGCCAAAACCAAATCTTGGAAATCGCGGTACTGATCCTTCATGAACTGAGAAGAAGAATTAAGAGGGCGGTTATGTTTCCTTAGCAAATAAAATGAAAGATGAATCTGTCTGTGTCTGTTCTATATGCATGTCGTGTGTGCTTGTATCGTATACCTACGTCTTCATATTCGTATATTTCTTTCAACAAAAGAAACTATTAGTATGCTTTGTCCCTCTTGTGGTGCAAATAACGCATAAATTTGTCTATGGCTCGTTGATTCATGTTTATTTCTCCTGGAATTCCTGTTCGTTTTGCCAAATTTCTGCTAGAATGGATTATCATGAAATTTAATACATCGTGGGTGGCACTCGAACAAAACACACTAAATATAGTCTGATTCGTTGTTCTTATGTGGTTACCGAGCATAACTTATTATACATCCTCTCTGGGGTGTGTTATGCTCATCAAAACCTTCATATTAAGAACCACAAAGAAATCATTCGAGTACTTCTACAGAATGCCCTGCGGTATTAATTAATTTAAGTTTTGCAGCCTCGATGTCACCTAAAATCTCGTTCAGATGGTATAAAAACGCGTGTTAACCTCTTTGTCATCATTGTCCTTCAACATCAAAGATTAATTTATATGAAATTAACCGGCATCTAAATTTCTAGACTAAGGACAAAACCCTTAGGATTGCCGCCAATCCCTGCATGCCATTCTCCACACTAATATTTTCAGTGATTGGAAGAAAACAGTGATCTTGATTCATTCGTTTCTTCAATATAATGGCCCCCTATTCAATTTTCAGATATTGGTCGATCAGTAGATCATGGTGAACTTGTTTGGGGTGAACATGTCCCTTTATCACCAATGATCACATGTGATGTCTCAGCGTCTCACCATTCAAGAATTCCTGTTCTTTTCTTACCTACTGCTCTGGTTAATTATCATCTTCACTTTCTTGTGATGATGGGTTTTGTGATAAAGTAGTTTCCTTGTCCTACAGAAACTTTAAACTCGTCACCAAGTTGGCTGTACTCTGTAACTGTGTGTGTAGGGTCAAGAGCCCTAATTAGAATCCATCTTGTCCTAAATAAAAGACCTCTTCGATAGATGCGTTTTGGTCCTAAATAATAAAGCACTTCAATTCAATTTGTTTCTCCCATTATATTTGTTCCCCATAATGCCCTCGGCACAAATTTCTCACTCCTTTTCTATATCAGTTAATAATCTCTCTCTCCCCCCCTCCAAATGGAAAATGAAATGTCTGGCATGGGTTAGGGATATTCGAGAATCTCTCCGTTCCAGGACGTTTGGCCTCTCTGTTCCAGGGGAATACAGTTGCACTTTTAAAATTTCCCACTCCACCAACTTCAATGATTAGATGAAGTGGTCACACATTTTTTCATATCATTGTTGTAAATAGCAAACTTAACCAACTTTCTTAATATCCATAAATTGGTTAAGTCAGTCCTACATTTAAGACTGAAAAGAGTAGTTAAATAATTATATAATGATTAAACATAACGCTAATTCAATGGATCTATGACTGACATAGAGTTCAAGGTATAGTCTCCAGGTTCTATGATTTGTCAGATCAGACTGGAGGGGCAAAAAGATAATACAGCGCATATATGATTAGCGTAATTATACTAACATTTTGAGTGTATAATTCTCAGATGAAGTTGCTAGACCGAACCAGCAGGAGAAGATGCTCCCAAAGTTTATTCTTTCTAGCTACAGAATGGAAGAAATTAAACAGAAGCATCTTAATTAAAGTATGTATCATATACACAAGTTGAGCCACATAGATAAGCCATTGAGAAGAAAATTAAATATCTAGCCATCATCATTTAGTCACATAAAAGAAAAATCTAGCTGTTATCACACACACAAAACACATAACCAAACCACCTCCTGATTTCTATCTAATTAGAAGTAATAAATGATGGTGTATATAAGAGACTATATACACCAAGAATAGTCTTCTGATCTCCAATATATTGATTTTGGAGTGATATAAATATGGTCATGTTATTTCTTAACAAAAAACTTCTACTAATTGGTCTGAGATTTTAACGATGAAGTTTATCATCAACAAGATTGGACTGTGGAATTGATTATCCCAATTGTTAGTTTGCCAGTTTAATTTCTTGGAGGCAAAGGCTTCCTGATGGGGATGCAATATTTAGTTAGCATATATACAACATTATTCGTAAGGCATAGAAATTGAAGCCGAGCAGCCCTTGCATTGAATAGAGAGAGATATGTCTCAATTGATCAGCTAAAGAAAATTTAAAAAAAAAAGGGAATCGACTCAAACTTCCAAAAACTGACCATATATACATAAATCATCTAGGCCACTCTAATTATATACTCCCTCCTTTTCATAGTATAATTCTTTTTAAAATAAATTTTTTATTTAATTTTATATGTCTTTTTATATATTCTTAGAAATCCAAAGAAACATTTATTAACATTTTTTATCATTAAACCCTTATTTTTTAGTAATGTGTCTATAGTTTAATTTAATGTATTAAATTAAGGACAAATTCGGTAGTCTTGTCAATATTTTAATATAATAATTGCAACTTAAAAAAATAACCTAAATTTTTCAATTTCTCATGTGGTAAACATGGGAAAACTTAATATATGTTATATACATCAAATATGAGAATCACTACAATCATGCATTCACAATTTTATAGACTAAATTATCCATATCTGGTATGAATATAGTTGACTTATCTGTTTTTTACATCTTGATAATTATATTTTTATTTTTATTTTATTTATTTTTTAATTCATTTCATTTTATTCTTTTCAAGCAAGCAAATGGGCCGTTGGTATTGGAATAGAAAGAAGAAGAAAGATGCGGTGATATGTCGTGGAGGCAGGGAATTATAAGTAAAACGGCATTACTTTTTCATGTTCACATGAGCTCGTGTAATAATTTCTGCTTGGTTTACAAAGGATTTAGCATCTTAATACAGGATATTAACTTAGTAGTCCCATGTAACCGTACCAATTTGGAAATAATTTTGCAGCTCGGCTGGCTGTATTTCCACATCACTGGCCGATCCATACACAAACCTTTTCAATCTCTCACTTATTTTGGTGGCTCCGAATTCATACAAAGACGGCTGAATCTGCAAAACAAAGTCAGAAATCAGAAATTAAATTCAAATACATATATATTAAGAACACGTGAAGGAAGATTAAGACGATTATATATATACCTGCGCGTGCACAATGTTTAGCATTGAATCTCCGGCGAGTGAGGAACTGGCACTTACGACCTCCACTTCCTCTTCGTGCAGTATGCGAATAATCTCATAGAAAGTGAACTGATTATCCAAACCATTAATCAGAACTACTTCAAGTGACGAACCCATTTCATGAATCTGAATCTGTGGTGAATTCAGGCTTCTCTTTATGGTCTCAAAAGAACCAGAGCTGCAGCAAGCATGTGACCTTTTCTTTCCCATGAACCTCTCTTTCTTCTCCTGAGCCATCTTCACTTTTGCCTCTAAACTCTTTATATAGTTTATTGCCTCGTCTATCTGATCAGGCAGCGGAATCATTTGCTGCGCAAGCAATGATTCATTTAATCAGACCACCAAGTTAATTAATATAATCTCGAAAAAATAGCAAATAATTAATAATAAAAAAGTCCTGCTCGAATCCATATCCATGCATGAAGAAAAGAGAAATTAAGACCTTAGGGTTGAAGTTTGGGAGAAGAGAGTTGAGTTTGGCGTAAAGGATCTTCATCTGGTTTCTTCGGTTTTTCTCTATGAGCCTTCTTTCGATCTTGGTGGGCGTAGGAGCTTGAAATCGAGGCTGATCCATTTGCATGCTTAATTTCATCCAAAACTCTGAGACTTTGAATTCTGGGAATGAAGCCGATGACCGGTCTAACCAGATTAAATAGACTGCTAGACAGACATGAGATGTGGACAGTGGGTCACCATGGGTGCTCTGGAAATTAAAGCAAGTGGGAAAAAGAGACCACGGCGCAAACGTCACTTTTCAGACGTCAGTACTGTTCTTGTTCTAGTGTCAAAAAATGGAGAGAGAGAGAGTAGTCAGTGATTCAATCGAAGTAGAAAGTTGAATTGACGCGTGTCTTGTGCAGATACCGTTCCGTGTTCTATTTGTGTCCATGTTCATGCGATCCGATCCGATCCGATGTATTTGCCACGCCAAGCCCGCCATTCCTATATTGGCAAATCACAGTTAACTTTCGAACCCCAATATCTTGTCAAAGATTTTGACCTTTTTTTTAATAAATATATATACACACACACGCATGCCGTCCATGAAGGGAGTGTGATAAAAAAATCTTAAAAGAATCAATCAATTTAACTTAAATTTTAAATGTTAACTTTTATAAATTTATAAGTTTAATTTTTAATTTTATAATTTATTTATGATGAATTTATAATTTATATTTTAAATTTTAATAAAAAATAAATTTATTTATTTTTCAACCATGTTAAAATTTAAAAAATAAATTATGAATTTATTATAATAAAATTATAAAATTTTAAAAAAGGTTACAAATTCTTAAAAGTTAACACTTAATAAATTAAATTAATTGATACTTTTGGACTTCTTTAATTTGTCATTCTCCCGTCCATAAAGGTGAAATAAAGCCAATTGACTTTGCTAATCCTATGCATTTAGACAATTTTCTATTCTATTCATTTAGTATGATAATATATTTTTAATTAATTTATATTTCCTAATAAATTAATTAATGACATTTAAAATTATATATATTTTTATTTTATCCTTATTCAATAATTTATATTAATTAAAAAATATTATTAATTATAGCCATAATTAAGGAATTTTTAAAAAACATATTAATTAGACCTTTTTTTGTCAAAGAATGAATTACATCTTAAAAGATTTAAAATATCTTATATTTTTTTAATATGATATTTAAAAAACATACTTTATAATATTGAATAGAGTATTTAATTATATATAACCCAAACAAAAAGGGTTTGAAGGTAAGCAAAAAATCGGGTTGGATTTCATGCTATTTAAATTTTATAAATAATGTAACTTATTATACATTTATATTACATATTAATAACTTGGATTGATTTGTATTTTGTTTGCAGCTGTGATATTAATTTGTAAAAATTAATTGGATGCATGAATTAATTTTTATAATTCACATCGGCAAAGATCTGATAACGAGTGAGGTTTCCACAGTTTTATTTTATATAATTTTTCAAATGTTGAATTTAAGGTTGTATAAATTTGAATTGAATAATATATTTGCAAGTTCAACTAATTATACCTATATTCTTGGATAGCAGGTAGCGCGTACGCGGTATAATTCTTTGATCTGTCATTTCCTCATTTGAAGATTTTAGTTACTTCGCTACTTCTCATGCTTCCTATTATTGCAAAAATATAATCGAACTAATTAATTACTTGATCATAACGTACAAAGAAAATTCTAAGTAGAGTTTGATTTATTAATTAAAGAGGCAACATTCTTGCCTTAATATTTGGATTCAAATTTTGGAGTTTCTTATCTCAATATTGATGTGTCATTTGTGTAGTTTGCAGAGACTTTTCTTTTCTTTTATTTTTTTAAATTGTTTTCAATATAACAAAAGATAGGTAAATACATAATTCTCCTTTCTGTAAAATGGATTAAACATTATACGGAGCTCTCTTCTCATACATGGGTTATAAATAGTTAGAGAGGACCTCCCATTCATTCATTAAAAAAACAAATGCACACCCACATAATTAATTTTGTAAGTTAAGCCTCATTTGAATTTAAATTTTCCCATATAAAATTACAACAAAGAATAGGATATTTAAATTAAACTCCTAACAATATAATACATTACAAATTACAAAATCATATAATTGATAGAATGATATTCTCCCAACGTACGAAAAAATTACAAAACCTAAAATTGATTAGTCTTGGCTAGGTTTAACGGCGTGGTGCTAGGTTATTCTGTTTGGTGTGAGCACCATGAAATGATTTAACTTTTGAACCATCGACGAAAACATTTGAGAATTACACATGAATACAATATAAACAATTCCCACAAGTCAAGTCTACTATGCAAAGGGACAAAAATTCATGGGTTTATCGAATGTAGTACATTGAACAAGAACAAGGAATGGTTTTGAAATATTTAATTCCCAGTGTTGTTCAATGAACTGCAGAAGGGAAGCCATTAAATATTCAGATAGGAGTGGCGAGTAGAATCCAGGAAAGAGGCAGGAATGTGGTTGGAAACAGAAAAATGGTTTGGTTTGATTAAAACAGTAGTTCAACAAAAATAATTTAAACCCAACAGCGCAACCGTTTATCGGTTTTGACCCGTGAGACTTTTGCTTTAGTTTCCAACCAATTCAGGTTTTGTTTGATTATACTTTTGATCAGACTTGAGATTGAATGATTTTAGTTCAGTTTCAAACTTGTTTAGCACGTATCTCTCATTAATTTTTTTTTTTTTTTAGATTCGAGTTGCGTTAGGTTTCAAGTATGGGAAGACTCTCCTTTGTATATAATACTAGTACTATTTTCTTTATTTACAAGAACTACTTCTGAACTTACTTCACGTCAGCCAAGAGTGCCTTCAACTCCCAATTGGCACTGCTTCAATTTTAAATTCTAAGTGCAATTTTACTCGCTCCTGATTTGGATGGAAAGAAAATTTGAGAAAGAAAAATTACTGGGAGGAAAAATCTACCCAAAATAATAATATTATTATTATTTCTGAAATTTTCAATCTTAGTATTCTCTCTTCCTTATTTTTCCTATACAAACCAAGCGTGTTCCACTGTTCTGGATAAGGGAATTGTGTGTGTATGTGCTTGTGCGCGTAAACATATTGCATTTTTGTGTTTTAGCAAAAAGCAAAAATATATGTTGCCTTCATTTGAACTGACTCATGATGCATGATCTAATTTCAAATGGTCCGCGCTCATAGATTATATTTTCAATGATTTTAAGACTATTTAATAATATAAGCCGCCCAAAAAGGTGGAATTTACTCATTGATCAATCATACAAATTTGTATTTGATTAATAATTACCCAAACTGTCCACCTCAATTTGGATGGTGTATATTTTGTTTATAAATTTGCATTTAATTTATATTCACCCAAATTGAGCCCCTTAATTTGGCTGGTGCGTGTTATTCCGAGTCAGACTTCATATTTCACTTGACAAATGTGAAAAATGATTGAAATTTCGAACTTAAAACTTTCAAAACAATAAACCAATATTTTAAAATCCCTCGATGGACTAATTTTTTGAATATATATAGAATTGTATTTTCAGTTTAATAGTTTTATTTATATATATAAATATATAAGGTGAGTTTTTAATTGTCAACGCTGTAAGACTAACTTGAATGGAAATATAGCAAAATATAAAGTAAAAGGACACGCATCTTCTCAAAAGTGAAAAGTAAAGTACATTCTGAGCAGCCACATGCAGTCATCGAATGATGCTTAAGGAGAGGTTCCAGCTGGCTGCTGCTTTAGCTCTCACCCTAACTGAGAGACAAAACGTGTTGCACACGATCCTCATATGTACTTGATTATCCCAACGTAAAACGAGAGTTAATCCATTTATTTGAAAACTTCATATTTTTTAATTTCATGAAAGTTAACACTCCTTTCATTTAAAAATATAAAATATTTTTAATTGAATTTCATCTCTTAATAAAATAATTATTTATTTTTAAATTAATTTTATTTTTTTATATTCATTTCTATTAAACACCTTACAATAGGTATAAAATTATTTGGGCACGTTTAAAAAAAATAATGATTACATCTCAAAAATTAAAAATGTCTTATATTTTTTAACATCCAACTTCTTAAAAAATACCTTATATTTTTAAACGGAAGGAGTAATTATTAAAATGATGATAGAATTATGCACAGTCACACCCATGTTAAAAAGAAATTAACCATCATAGAGTTTATAATGGATTATATATCCATTTTTTTTGTAAATATACATGTTTTGGATCAGAAAATGTAGTGTTAGAATGCAAAGTTGACTAAACAATGCAAGGTTTTGAGGGGATGAGAAGTGGAAAGGTACTTTATATAGAAAGGCACAGGAGAGACGCGGATGGTGTCCGGTGGTTAGACGTACGTGCGCATTGTCAAATATATAGTATTCCTTGCCTTTTAAAAATATAAAATATTTTTTAATATTAGATATTAAAAAATATAAATTAAAGGAGTTTAGATTTTTCAACATCCAATTAAATTATGTTTTTTAAGTACTCTTATATAAAATATAATTAATAAAAAATTTTAATCGAGACACATTATTAAATTAAAATAAATATAAAAAATATATATTTTTAAAAATAACTAATATGTGAGAGGTCAAATATATATATTTTATTTAAAATATATATTTTATGATGGCATGGTGATATAAAGGTAATTGAATTTCACTGTTTGAATTGCGGCTTCCCATGCTTTCCCACTGACATTGGCTTGAGCACTTCAATCAAAATTCTCAAACCCTAATAATCATCAAAATCACATCACACCAGACCTCCATTTCCTCCCATTTTCCTCGAATTTACTTCCCTTTTCCTTGATGCCCATCTCTTTCTCTCACACGTGTTTGGCAGTGGCACCACCGTAAATGTACTTTCTTTTTGCTCCCACGCATTAATTCATTAATATTCTCTCACCACTTTCCTTTTCCTTTTTAAGATAAAATTATGTGACTTCATGAGTCAAGCATCATTGATACCTATATTTATACAAACAAAACTAATTAACATACTCTCACACGATAACAGTACGACTAAAACTCACTTTTATAAGAAGTATAGG